CCAAAAAGAATTAGCTGATTATGTGAAAAAGAAACATATCTGTGGTTTACATATGTCTACAGACAAAAGAAATTTTATGTTATGTTAGATAATTTTTTTATTTGAATATGTTGTTGGTCCTTTGTAGGGTTTTATTTTTTGTTTTTCTTTGCGAAACCATTTCAAGGTTTGTTTACGTAAAGGATTCTTATGAAAATTTGCTATATGTTTAGTCCTTTTTTGCACTCTTTTTAAGGGTTTTTATGGTTTCTTTATAACACTTTATTTTGCTTTTTGTTGCTTTTACAACTGGGAGGATTAGTTTAATTTAAAAATATTGATATTTTTATTTAATTTTAGTTAAAATGTTTTGCTAAATAACAAAACAATGAAGATTAAGTATATACTGTTTTAGAAGTAGCAAATGTAAGGACAATGCTTAAGGGAATAATTAGGAAATTTTACAAATTTAGGCACTGCTTAATAATAATAATTTAAAAGCTTTAAAATCTAAGATTGTCGGATGGAGAATATGTGTAAGGATATTAAAGCGCTATAATTTTATCTACAAAAATCCTATTTAAGATTATGTGATTTCGATATAAAAATTAAAACTTAAAATTAAATTACATACCTGATTCTAAAGGAACTTAAAAGATCTTTATTTTATTATCTAAAAAAAAAGCTTTTACAAACACCTAATTACATATTTCTATAGTTGGTCAACATACATATAGGTTGACCCTTTTTCTCATGTATTGTCAACACAAAATGTATAGACTTCATTTTAAGAAATGATTGAAGCTGGATTCTTTTCAAAGATATTAAGAATTTTTTTAATTTTGCCATAAAATTTTTAACCCCATTGCTTGTGACATTTCCTTAAAAATGTCAATTTTATTTTGTGTTAATTTATTTTAAAAAATACTTTCCTTTTTTGCTTACAACTCTTTACATTACACAAACAATAAACTGTAGGTAAGTCAGCATTTCCTAAAAAAATTTTGCAAATGAATGACCTTAAAACTAGAAAAAAATATTGAAAATAAAAATTTTTAAGTTGAACGAAGGAAAAATGTCTCATACTAGATTTTTTGTATTTTATAGATTTGTCCTTTTTTTTCCAACCGTAATCCATTTGTTCCACATCAATAAATAATCTACTAATAGATTTACTTAAAATGGAAGGAATGGTGGTTATTTGATTTAACATTAGATTGATTCATGAAACATTAATCTCAACTGATATATTTTGCAGAAAAAAAAACTTTTTTTAAGCATGATCCGATATTTAAAATCCTCCTTCCAATGAAAACACACTAACTTTTACTGCTAGTTTAGCTTGTTGGATGTGTAGAATTTACAGTATGCGCTCAATCACAAGTTTACTGCACCATCAGTTATTGAAAATAGTGGTCTTAGATAACACTGGAAGATCCCTCTTCTCATCAAGTTCTTGTCAGCCTTATGACTCAACCGGATGTACTCATTCCTAATATTCTTTATGGCTTTGTTTTCCTTAGAAGCGATAACGTAATCATTGCTGACCGGGTCATTCACATTACCATACTAGTCTTCCGGTATTTTATATGTCGGATTACTGAAATCATCCCTGTATATGTTCCTTGTAAATTGCAACATGATCCTCGGGCCCTATTCTTCCTTCAGCTTTTAGATTATTTTACGCTGTTAGTAGTTACATTGATCTATTAATAGATTTGAATACAGTCTGAAAGAGATATGGCTGGGCTTTGTTACAGTATTTTGGATGACGGGGGCTTTTTCCGTATTGGGTATATTTTCAACGTTAAAATTTTACTTGTCAAAAAAGAATAGTTAAGCATGACTCCGTATTATCTTCTGCCTTATTCTCCTGTACCCGCAGATAGCCCTTTCGATCGTCAATAGAATGGGTAAGCTTCCACTTTGTGTTGTCATTTGATGATTCAGAGTCGGTACCATTACTATTCTTTAAACTAGAATTGAACTAGAATGAACTAGAAAAAACTGAACTAGAACTGAACTAGAACTGAACTAGAACTGAACTAGAACTGAACTAGAACTGAACTAGAACTGAACTAGAACTGAACTAGAACTGAACTAGAACTGAACTAGAACTGAACTAGAACTGAACTAGAACTGACTAGAACTGAACTAGAACTGAACTAGAACTGAACTAGAACTGAACTAGAATGAACTAGAACTGAACTAGAACTGAACTAGAACTGAACTAGAACTGAACTAGAACTGAACTAGAACTGAACTAGAACTGAACTAGAACTGAACTAGAACTGAACTAGAACTGAACTAGAACTGAACTAGAACTGAACTAAACTGACTAGAACTGAACTAGAACTGAACTAGAACTGAACTAGAACTGAACTAGAACTGAACTAGAACTGAACTAGAACTGAACTAGAACTGAACTAGAACTGAACTAGAACTGAACTAGAACTGAACTAGAACTGAACTAGAACTGAACTAGAACTGAACTAGAACTGAACTAGAACTGAACTAAACTGACTAGAACTGAACTAGAACTGAACTAGAACTGAACTAGAACTGAACTAGAACTGAACTAGAACTGAACTAGAACTGAACTAGAACTGAACTAGAACTGAACTAGAACTGAACTAGAACTGAACTAGAACTGAACTAGAACTGAACTAGAACTGAACTAGAACTGAACTAGAACTGAACTAGAACTGAACTAGAACTGAACTAGAACTGAACTAGAACTGAACTAGAACGAACTGAACTAGAACTGAACTAGAACTGAACTAGAACTGAACTAGAACTGAACTAGAACTGAACTAGAACTGAACTAGAACTGAACTAGAACTGAACTAGAACTGAACTAGAACTGAACTAGAACTGAACTAGAACTGAACTAGAACTGAACTAGAACTGAACTAGAACTGAACTAGAACTGAACTAGAACTGAACTAGAACTGAACTAGAACTGAACTAGAACTGAACTAGAACTGAACTAGAACTGAACTAGAACTGAACTAGAACTGAACTAGAACTGAACTAGAACTGAACTAGAACTGAACTAGAACTGAACTAGAACTGAACTAGAACTGAACTAGAACTGAACTAGAACTGAACTAGAACTGAACTAGAACTGAACTAGAACTGAACTAGAACTGAACTAGAACTGAACTAGAACTGAACTAGAACTGAACTAGAACTGAACTAGAACTGAACTAGAACTGAACTAGAACTGAACTAGAACTGAACTAGAACTGAACTAGAACTGAACTAGAACTGAACTAGAACTGAACTAGAACTGAACTAGAACTGAACTAGAACTGAACTAGAACTGAACTAGAACTGAACTAGAACTGAACTAGAACTGAACTAGAACTGAACTAGAACTGAACTAGAACTGAACTAGACTGAACTAGAACTGACTAGAACTGAACTAGAACTGAACTAGAACTGAACTAGAACTGAACTAGAACTGAACTAGAACTGAACTAGAACTGAACTAGAACTGAACTAGAACTGAACTAGAACTGAACTAGAACTGAACTAGACTGAACTAGAACTGAACTAGAACTGAACTAGAACTGAACTAGAACTGAACTAGAACTGAACTAGAACTGAACTAGAACTAGAACTGAACTAGAACTGAACTAGAACTGAACTAGAACTGAACTAGAACTGAACTAGAACTGAACTAGAACTGAACTAGAACTGAACTAGAACTGAACTAGAACTGAACTAGAACTGAACTAGAACTGAACTAGAACTGAACTAGAACTGAACTAGAACTGAACTAGAACTGAACTAGAACTGAACTAGAACTGAACTAGAACTGAACTAGAACTGAACTAGAACTGAACTAGAACTGAACTAGAACTGAACTAGAACTGAACTAGAACTGAACTAGAACTGAACGAACTGAACTAGAACTAAACTAGAACTGAACTAGAACTGAACTAGAACTGAACTAGAACTGAACTAGAACTGAACTAGAACTGAACTAGAACTGAACTAGAACTGAACTAGAACTGAACTAGAACTGAACTAGAACTGAACTAGAACTGAACTAGAACTGAACTAGAACTGAACTAGAACTGAACTAGAACTGAACGAACTGAACTAGAACTGAACTAGAACTGAACTAGAACTGAACTAGAACTGAACTAGAACTGAACTAGAACTGAACTAGAACTGAACTAGAACTGAACTAGAACTGAACTAGAACTGAACTAGAACTGACTAGAACTGAACTAGAACTGAACTAGAACTGAACTAGAACTGAACTAGAACTGAAATAGAACTGAACTAGAACTGAACTAGAACTGAACTAAACTGAACTAGAGAACTGAACTGAACTGACTAGAACTGAACAGAACGAACTAGAAACTAGAACTGAACTAGAATTAGAACTGACAGAACGACTGAACGATCTAGAACTAACTAAAACTAGAAATAAAACAAACAGACTAGAACTGAACTAGAACTGAAGATATATAGAACCCAAACCATGAACTTAATTATAGAATTAGAATTGAATATAACTATAACCTGACTCTGAACTAGAACTTGAACAACTAGAACCAACTTTCGTGAATAGGAGAGAATAGAACTAAGGTATATAGCCCATAAAAGTTTTTATACCTCACCTCGGGGGATATATACTATATGTAGTTTTATTCTGTTTGTAATTTCCACAATATAATATTTCCGACCTATAAGTGTACATATATTCTGATCCTTTAATAGCGAAGTCGATAAGTTATGTCCGTCTGTCTGTCGTATGTCGTCTGTGTAGTGTTGAAATCAATATTCTGAAGATACCAGATATCTTCGATATCTTTTATCTCGCAGACATGCTTTCGATAGGTTTGCTATTTAAAATCATCAAAATGACTATTCAAAGTCAAAGCTATTTCCTATGAAAATTAGTTTATACATATTAATAATGTACTTTAAGAATTACTAAAATTCCAAATACCTAAGCCTATTTTAAAAATCGTAATTAATTTATATTTTATTATTTATTCCAGATTAAATTGCTGCAAGAAAAAAATAATAAAGAACATAAAAATTCATGACCCACCAACAACATGTGGTTGCAACATGAAAATAAAGCATTAAAATTTCATAATAATTCATAGTTTTTCGTTGAAAAGGAAAAAATCTAAAAACAAATGTGGCGCCATGTTAAGGATGATTTATGAAAAAACCAACAATAATAAAGTAAAACATTTTATTAAAATATTATTTAATTATTATGAGACCACAGTGAAATTGAAACGTTTAAAAATTCAAAGGTAGTCTCAATAAGAGAAAAATTAAATAAAGTATATTGCCGCAAAAAAGTAATAAAATTTAAATAAAATAACGGAAACGTTTTTAACAAAAGAATTTTACAAAATTTATGTCATTCCTTTCTATTCTGTGCTTAAGAGAAATAAAAAACTTGAAAAACAAACGATGCTGGCTATTAATATTATTATGAATTTAGCAAAAATTATGCTTATCTTTAATGGCCTTAATGTGTCACTGAACAATGTAGATGCCACCATTAGCCCCAGCTCCCTTGCCATGTCCAGCAGCAGCAGCAGCAGCACAACGAAAGACCATAAAGAGGAAATAATGGATGAGGAGCAGCCGAATAAGCTGGGACAGTCGGTGGCGGTGGATGTCATAGATGTTTTAAATATACGACATGAACGTTCCAAACAACGCAGACATTCCACCTTAACCGAAAAGGAGCAACAGCTGCATCTGCCACAACCAAAACAGCAGCTACATTTAACAAGAACATTATATGAAAACAATCCAGGGAATAAGGAATTACATTTACAACACAAAGTTGATGAACAAAAGGCTGTTGATGGCACGAACATTGATGGTGATGATGATGATAATGAGCACCAGCAAATCCCATTGATGGCTGAAACAGAATTGAACGAGTTTTCACAAAAATTTCATTCATCGATTAGCAATGAAGAAAGTGCTGCTGGTCCAAATGAACATTCGAAAAAACTAGTTGCAGATGGTCATGTTGATGTAAATGACATTGATGTTGTTAACAATGTTACTGAACATTTGAATAATGTAAATGATGCAATTGTTACCAAAGATAGCAGCAGTAGCAGTAACAGTGGTACCAGCAATATTCATAGCTTGTTTGAGGCCACTGCGGCAACACATCATTTAACACCTTCTGCACCATTTCCCACCACAACCCTAAAAACTGTGACTCACAAAATACGAAAATTGCATAAAAAGAAAATTGTTGAGAGTTTGCGACAATTGAATATTGACAAATTCAATACAAATGGTGGTCATTTGACCAAAAATCATCATCGCAGTTTGCTAGAAGCAGAACAACTACAACAGCAAGCTCAGTGGCAGGATACAAATAAAATTTCTCATAAAGCAGACGAGAGTCAGCAGCAGCAGCAAGAGCATCTGAAACAAACAACAACTGTTGCCAGCATAGATGCCAACAGTAGACATCAAATGGCCAAGGAGGAGGAGGAGGAGTACAACGACGAAGCTGATATGATTACAAATGATATTGACACAAATGAAAGTGTAAACGATAGTGATTTACCAGATATAATGGATAAAGATGATGCTGGTGATGGCGATGATAATGATGATGATGATAAAGAAGATGATAATGACAATGATGATAATTTGTCGGATGTATTCTATCAAAATGATGAGAATGTTTCAAATGTCAATGATGATGAGGATGATAATGATGACGTTGATGAATTATATGTCACCACCCACCCCACACTTTTGGATGACAAATTCGATAAGCAATTTAAAAACTTCTCCTCTGAATTCATTAAAGACATTGATAATAATGTGGATTTGGAAGATAACGAAACAGAAAATGAAAATTTATTAACTTCCTGGCATGAAATAAAAGATTTGAAATTTAAACCATTAAATTTATCCAGCAACTCTTTAAATAATCTTCTAAATAACTCTACAGAGGATGCCTTGAATTCAACATCCACCACAGAATTTCCCTATGATTTTCCCTTCTCCTCGGAAGATCATTCTTTTGAACCGCTACTCTCGGCCAGCACTAGCCAAGGTGGTATACAATTCGAACATCAACAATCACAATTCTATGAAAAAGAAGAAATAAACTTCAATGACTCGTTCGATTTAACACAAGATGATGCCTCAGCTTCTAAAGATCTTATAATGGATGAAGCCGTTATGGAAGATGGAGATGCTGACAGCGGTCATGCTAATGGTTTTCCTTTAAGTAGTCTCGATGAGTCGGACTCTGAAACAGATACCGAAACTGAGGGCATTTCAGATGTGGCTGCTGATGATGAGACCAATCATTTTCTGGAAGGTGTTGTGGATGCTGCCAATTCGGAAGAAATTTACGATTGGGATGAAATATCGCGTAGTAATCGTCGTGATTTAATGCATGGTCGTGACGTGGTGACGAAATTTTTGCAAATTGTCGAAACTCAGCATTCGCTCGGTTCGAATTGTGAGGCCGGTACATCGTTGAATTTGGGCGAGGGCGTAGTTGATCGTTATGCACAGGATCGTTTTCGTATCGAAGCTGAAGTGGCTGTTAATCGTGCCAATATGTTGACCAGGTAAGTGGTTTTTGATAAAAAATATAATATTTAGGATATTTAATTAACAAAATAAACTTTGTTAACATGTGATTATGTTGTTCATTAATTTGTTTTGGTTTAAAACCTACATATACCAAAATGTACTAATTTGTTATGGATTTAATTAAAGTGTATTTTAGTTACCACTAACTCTGCTATAAAGTTTATTATTTCAATTAGGTTTTACAGAGTGAACTATAATAATTCTGCCAAGTAAAATAAGTAAATGAAAACGGTTGTATGGGGGCTACGCGAAGTATCGGACCAATTTAAACCATTTTCAATAGGCTTCGTTCTTGGGTCAAAAGAAAAGTATGTGCCAAAATTTTATCAAATTATCTTGAAAATTTAGATCTGTATAGTGCGCCCAAGGTTTACATGGATACACAGACGGACAGACGGACATAGCTTAATCGACACAGAAAGTGATTCTAAGCTGTTTGGTATACTTTAATACTTATCCACTTCATATACATATGTACCTCCGATAGACTTCTAAGTATAACATAGACTTAAAGTCCTATTGGTCATCATTTACCTCTTCACTTTCCATACCCGGAAATTCTGTTAGAATATGTCGTAAGACCTCGGAGTCTACGGAGAGTATCTTCAAAATCTATACAACTCGTTGAAATTGTCGATAGATTCTTAGAACTAGGTCCTTAAGATCCACCTCGTCTTTTGATATTAGTTTTATACTTGTTGCAACTAGGGATGCCAAACGGGAATTCCCGATTCCCGAAAATCCCGGGATTTTCGGGATTTGAAAGTACCGAAAACCGGGATTTTAAAAAATGAAATCCCGGGAAATTTCGGGATTTTAAAATCCCGAATTTTTAAGTATTTTTCCGCTATTTTATACATTATAAAGTACTAAATAAGAGAATTTAAAAAGTTTTTGGACTTAAGATGACTCTACTAACTTACAAGCTGAAATATCAAAAAAAAGTAAGAGTGCTATATTCGGCTATGCCGAATATGCTTTTCTATAAACATCAGGGTGATATTACTCATCAAATTTACTGATAGGACCTTATATGAGAGGTAGGGTGAATCATTGACCGTTTTTATAAAATTTTTCATAATTTTTTTAGACCAATTTTGGTTCATACACTTTCCGGTAGGAAGATTTACGTTCCTATAAAAGTTTCTTAGCTTTTGGCGAGTAAGAAACTTACTTATCTCAAATTTCATCTCTACACTCGTACTTGTAAGCCAGTAATGAGCGTTAAAGTATTTATCTGGATGGGACCTTATGTAGGGGTAGGGTCACTTATGGACCGAAACACATAAAACTTGGTAGAGAGATTTTGACTCGCATGAAACATATGTGTATCGAATTTCATCGCTATACTCGTATTTTTAAGCCAGTAATGAGCGTTAAAGTTATTTTTTTAACGGGACCTTATATGGGGGTAGGGTCAATTATGAACCGACCCACATAAAATTTGGTAGAGAGGTTTTGGCTCGTCAGGGATTTACGCATATAAAATTTCATTGCTATACTAAATAGGCATAGATACTATCGGATATATAAAAATAACAAGTACGAAATTATAGGCGGGCGAGGCCGACCATATAACCCCATACACCAGTTATGAGAGTAAAATGTAATTTAGTTTTCATAATAAAAGTATACCTCGCCTCCGATATATTCTAGCACTTTATTGTTAAAAAACTATTTTTCTGAAATATGCTTGGGGGAAGGACGCCATCATATGAGTCGATCCTCATAAAATTTGGAGGGCGAATTTACGGTTACATAAAATGTTTTATGCTGAATTTCATTGCGACAGTTCTCTTTTTAAGCGAATTGTGGACACTAATTCTTTTTTAAAGCTGTGTTTTGTATGGGGGCTCGGATCAAAAGCCCGATCATTTCAAATTTCATCAGCGTATTTTAGGAGAGTATAAAACAAAAGCACTACTCCGGAGAAACCCAATATACCATCCCTACTAAGGGTATAAAAAGGGCAATAAATAGGCATTGATACTATCGGATATCTATAATGGAAATCAACCTGTCAATAAGATGGCGAGAAGATAATTCCCTTGGTTAGTAAACACGGGATATAAGGTGGAGGAGATATAGGTGCGGTACAGGTGCTCTATGTAGCCTCGTATGGATCCCCATTACACATACTATTTAAATATTATTTGGAAACCATTGTAAATTTGGATATCATGGGTATTATTTCAGGTTTTTATTCTACTATTCAGTGCCTGGGATGGAAAGATTTTTATTCTAAGTATGTACTTTGAATTAATTTGTTTTTCTTTTCACAAAATGCTTATTGGAAAGTAAACACCTACTAAGAGTATTCATATTGCAATATGAAATAAAACATTTTATTTTTGTCGGTAAATTATTAAGATTTTTTGAATTTTTTTTATATTTTTCGGGATTTCTAAATCCCGGATCCCGATATCGGGATTCCGGGATTTATTTAAAAATCCCGAATCCCGGGATTTCTAAAAACCAGTCCCGATTGGCATCCCTAGTTGCAACAGATTTTCTTGATTATAATTTAAACTCAGCTTTGTTAAAAAGCCTTCTAACAAGAAGTCGAAGTGCTTTACGTGAATATCTGCCGTGTTGACCTTGTTTTACGGACGTTATCTTACAGCCACAGGGTGAGCTGATTAGACGACTTATCACCGCATCTTGCACGCAGTTGGCAAATTTTTTACATGGTTCTGCCGGTTCATGTACAAGCACTTTGCTCAAGTACTCGAGCTCAGACCATGGCTGCCCCGTTGCAAAAACAACCACGCATATTCTGTTCATTCGGCAACAGCACCTAAACACGTAGTCGGTAGACCGAAATACGAATTCATGAAATAAAATGTTCTCATTCACAGAGAACACACTGTGGTAAATCTGATATGAACAGTCTTTACAATAACCGGGATAAGACAAAGTCCGAAACCCTGAGTGCTACCGCTTCGCGAGGTAGCAGATTATGTGGTTCTCTGGTTCGACCGCATGTCAAATCATTCCAAGGAAAGACCGAGAATACATTTGATTATCACCAGTTTATAGTTCAGGCAGTCCCGGCTACCAATACTAAAAGTATTGGCAGCACCACTTTCCCCCGGGATTGAAGTAGCACCAAGTTAAGGGAACAAGGTAACAAGTCCCCGGGGCAACAGCCTTCTAAGAGTTGCAAATCGAAATAGTTTGTTGATGTTTTCATGGATCAATTTCACGAATGTCTCGGACGATATTATTCATAATGGTTCGCTTCTGGATTATTTGCATATCTTCGGTCTGTAACAGCAACTCACAGCTTTAGTGCGTCCATTTGACATTCACCAATGATCAACTTTTGATGAACTGTATAACGGAAAAAGCATATTTTCCAAAAATACTGAGTTCCTCGGATATTGCAGTTTTTGCAATGCGAGGGGTAATTTAGAGAAGTAATTAAACTGACGGTCTGATCAGGTGCATTAGGAACCGGTGACCTGCAGAGTATTATTTTGGAATTTGTCTTGTACCGTTATTAGAAAGGTGCCATCGGGGTCCGCGTGTTGATTGTGGTTGAAACACAAATCGCGTGAGTGGAATTTTGGTTTAAAGATTGAAGCACGGTGAAATTAATTTTTCGTGATAAGTTCGATGCTATTGCCGATACAACATGATCCCTCAAGCAGTGACTGTGAGACTAAATATTAGAGATGAGCTGATATCAAAAGAGTTGGATATAGAATGAATCAGGGTATGCGTAGCTAACCCAATAGCATACCCTAGTGAATGTATCGTATGTTTTTCTTAATGAATGTGTTGCATAAAAGAGTTGCGTGATGCCCGGTACCCTATTCCTATGTTATCGATAAATTTTCCTTCTATATCAGGGTATATTCAAGGTTTACTTTGTCCACACCAGACTTACCGCAGTATGTCAACTGTGAGTAAGGATTGAAGTATTCGTTTAATGTTGGATATCGTTCTTAGGTCCATTAAAGGTGCCGTTCCATCAGTCTGTTTGCGGATTGTCGTCGAGAAATGCTTCAGATATGGTCTGAAGATTGCCGAATATTAAGCAATAAAAATTTGTCACCTTTGATATGTATGAGAACTATAGGCATGAAATGGGGTCTTATATCCACCGACAGCCAGAAGGCAATTAGGGCGATATCAGGTGATAGAATTAAATCAAAGACCGTATTGGATTATAAGAAAGCTTTAACTGAATACTCTCTCAGAGGTAAGGTTTACATCATATTTGTACCAGGACACTCGGGAGTAGTCGGCAACGAAAGGGCAAATGTAATAGATTTAAAGAGAAGGGAGCTCGAGATAGTTAACCTGATGAACGCAAAACCATTCGACGCAACAAAATATGGGTAAGAGAATCCCATAAGGCCTCTTGGAATAATGAAATGGTGGGTAGAAAGATCCTATGGGGTGACCCTGCTGAGAACAAGACGAGAAATCTCCTCAAGTTAGTATGATGGTACGTATTCTGAGTGGACACACAGGATTACGAGCACATCTATACAAAATTGGCCGTGCGGATTCAGACGAATGTAGACCATGTGGCCATTTTCTCATGAAAATGAGCGCACAATAGGCTCGATAGTGGCCTAGGTGTATTTCTTCGGATTTGATTTACTATACATCCTCCTATCAACCTAACCTAACCTAACCTAACCTTACCTAAGGGGCAGTAATGAGTCGTCTCTAACTCATCCTGTTATTGCAAATATACCCATTTTGCAAATTAATGTATAAATTAGAAATTTGTGCACATTATTATTTGTAACCCTGTACAAATGTTACACTCTTCTATATGGAATTTTTTTTATAAAGTTCATTTAATGTCTCTTAAGCTAATACATTTCTTTATTGTTCACAACACTTTACTGTTGGCACTTTAATTAATGTCAGTTGTCCAAATAGGTTTTTTTCTTACAAAAAGAAGAAAAAATATATAAATAAAACAATACTACTTACAAATTCATCACAACTTGACATGT